TATGTATTAACAATTTAAAAACGAGAATTTTCTGAATATCTATACTGTTTATGGACTTAATGATATGTTGCATATTACCTATATAATTGTTATAAATACTAAAATATGCATCGATTTAGAACTTTAAAATCTAGGTATAGTTAGATTGTTACTTAAACCGTAAAATATAATATGTTAATCATTAATAGTAACGTGTGTATGTTAATTGCGTTAAAATTATTTGCGTTCTAAAGTCACCTCAAACTGATTTCGTTGTTTTGAAACAAGCAAGCTTTTAGATTTCCGTCGGCCATTAATCTGAGTCGGTTACAACTATCGCAATAATCATCGGTCATTGACGATATGAAACCAACGCTGCCTGCAAATCCTGGTACTCGATACATCTACGAAACATATTATAGTAATTCATTAAAAAACGTCATTTAATTTGGGCTGCCTAAATTATGCAWATCCACATGATACTATATTATTATAGTATAAAATAATGATTAGAATGTATAAATCATGATACAACCAAGACCATTTTTAAGGCGTTTGATATAGGCAATTTTTGTCAACCATTGAAAAATATTCAATGTAACTATTACAATATGTAGTCCCGTGTCACTATGTCAGTACCATCGTCCTTAAATTACAATATTATAGAAATACATTTTATTTAAATTTTTTTTAAACAACATAGCATGAAAAACATCCACTTAGGTTACAATCATTGGTACCTAATACACTAAATTTACATGAATTACTTAAAATTATTTTTAAAGTAATTGATAMAAAAAAGTAGGTAATTATAGATAGCCGTTGTAATTTAAAGTCGAGTGACCACGCATTTCAGGTCATTATAGCGAAAATGTTAAATTTAAATTTAAAGATAAATCATTGACGAAAAATAATTCTGAATAGTGAACGGAATTACGGAAACTGTCTGAAAGCCACATTGTTAAGTATATTTTATTACAAATTGTATTGCTATTTAGTAATGTATTTTACTATTATTAGTAATAACCAATAACTTATACGGTAGGTTGAATTATTTTTTACCAAAAACATAGTATTTACTATATTATTAATTATTCTAAATTTCTAATAGTAAATAATGTATTTTTTTTTTTTAGGGTTAAGGCTTCGACAACTGAGGTCATTAGCCTTGGGGAACATTAAAGGAAGGTACTGTAGGTTTAACAAATAATGTATTATATTATCATAAGGTGTTAACTTTATGGTCAATACGACTTTAAWGTACTGTAGAATTATGTGAATCGTGGTTAAATAGCTTAAAATCAATCAAAATATTTTGAAAATTAAATTGTGTATTGTAAAATATAATAATAATAGTATACGCAACATTTTCAAGTCAAAAATGTTAGAACGACAACAAAATAGCTAAAATCTGTATTTTTTGTTGTTATATTCATTTACTTCTAAATTTAAACTTAACTTGTCTATAAAAAAAATGT